GGTACAAAATACACTGTGTGTATTATAACAATATACACAAACCCAGTGTGTATACTTGCTTTAAAAACAACAACAGATTATCACTCTGACCGGACAAGTTCAGTGGTTAACTCTTACTCTTCTCCTGACTAATTAAACTCAAGATGATATTCCAGAGTATACTTAGCAAATGTAACGTTCTTTAGCATGCAAGAAAGCTCACATTTATCAAAGACGACCAGTGTACCCACATGACTGATCATTCTCACTGTAACATAGATATCACCTGAACAACAATTGAAGGACATTGCTGTCAACATCCTTACACAATATGCAGTATTTCACAGTATCTTTCTTGAGTAGAACATGTGTTATTCACTTCAAGGATAACAAAAACACAAAGGTAACTTAGAATGAAATAAACTTAACAGCTTTTTTCACCACATGTAATGTGAAACTTGCACACACACATATATACAGAAGAAAATAAATTGAGAATCAGGGTGTCTAAAACAATTTCATAATTTTTAATTTATCAGCTGCTATATTTTCACTGCTAAATTACTATTAATGGATTGTTGTGCAAAGAGAACAATGCAATGGTACTTTTCGAATCTAATTCTTTTAACTAAATTATATCTCGTAGATAGTTTTTGTTAAGCATCCATTCCCCATGTTGATGTGGTATATGAATATATCATGCATTACTATCTTATTGTAGTAACTCTTTAACCAACGAATAGTGGGATTGACCATCACATTATAATGCTCCCACGGTTGAAAGGGCAAGAATGTTTGGTGGAACGGAGATTCGAATTCGCGACCTCACAGGTTGCGAGTCGAGCGCCCTAACCACCTGGCCATGTCGGGCCCAAATCTGTTTGGATAAAACAAAATGTGTTAACATGTTCTCCTTTCTGTACCTGACCAGTCAGAAAAGTGGATCACAAGTAACCTTACTCTGTGTGAAAGCAGCTCTATAAAACACACACAACAATAGTCTCCTAATACTAACTTAAAACATGTATTTTCTAACACTAGGAATAACCCTAAGCAAGTCAAAATAGGTTGCTTGGGTTTAACCATAAAGTCCTATGGCATTCTCAACTAACTTACATAACATAATGTTTAGGTACAACAAAAGACCTATTGGTCCATCTCAGCTGTTCCATCCTCTAAACTAAATTAAAATAAATACATTTTTAAAATTCTTAAAACCAGCCCTTGTCATTCATATACTTATAAAGCTTTCTCTTAAACTCACTTAAATTTACTGCCTCTACAACATTCGAAGGCAGCCCGTTCCAAAGGCCAACTACCATGTTTAAAAAAAATACAAAAAAAACTGTCTTACTTGAAGATGACTCCTACTCTGCCAAAATTTATATTTGTGTCCCATTTGCTTAATTAATTTTTTTACATAAATAAGACCATTAAGTGGTAATTTATATTTTAGGTAATATATGTGATACTTCTTATGGACTTCACATGCTTTAAACTTTCTTGTGATTAGCTACTCTCCATAAATGGTGCGTACTACACGAACCTATCTTAATTGAACTGAATGGAATTTTAGCGAGTAGCAATATCAAAATTAACAAGTATCAATAGATAAATATTTTGTAATTAATTAATATCATACAGTGGTTGAAATGATTCACAAAATTATTGACTGTAACAATGGATAAAACATGACTAGTTTTTCATATTCTGGACGATGAAAACTGTATACAGCCTGGGATAATCTATTTGTTTATTGTTAATAAAATATACATATTATTCAGTGATTGATTACCATGAAAAACAGAATGTGTAACAATCTACCGATTTTCACAGTTTACAAGAAGTAAATATTTTCTTACTATTGATATTATTCAATAAATGCTTTCTATAATGTGAACACAGGCTAATCTCAAAAGAAGTTATGGTGCCTACATTATAACATTTAGACAGCCTATTCAGCCAGTGTGTAGTTGCCCATGTTATTATGTAACCACCAGTTCATTTGATCTTTCCAATATCTTATCCGAACCTGTATAACTTCTGCTCTGAAGATAAGTATCATGCTACTTCAAGTAGAAAGGATTTCCACCTAAAATAGGATAAATTGGCTGCAGTAGCTTCTCTAATTGAAACATCACCTGTAACAATACAAAATGCAAGACTTAGCTTCAGTAAGTTTTCATTGTGTTATTTCAATATTATTCATTCCCCCTCTATGAAGTTTTAATAAAAGTGTGATATTTTGTTGTTGTTATTTTTTGGACTTAACAAAGAAACTAATTCAAACTTTTAAATAAACATTCCAAACAATACTAATATCATTTACTTAACAAAACAATTTTTTTTAAAGAAAAATAGAAGATAATGGAAGCTAATTTTCTACATATCACTTCATGTCTATTTACTTCATGTCTATTTTAAACACATCTCATTATCAATGTACGAAAATAAACCACAATACAACAAAAAATATGTTTCATTGTGGTTCGATGTATACAAAAAATTTGGACTTGCAAAATTTGTATGTGTAATACAATTAAAATATCGATCTTCGTTTTGACTTATAGTGATGATTGAACGTAAAAACGAACATCTTAGTTTAAAGTACTTCATCTTAACTCTTTCAGTGCCTTGGGCAAATATGTGTCTTTCTCTAGAACTGGCCCTGGGCAAATATGTGTCTATTTCTACAATAGTGCCTTGGGCAAATGTGTCTACCTCTAGAACAGTGCCTTGAAAACTGTGATATTAACCATACTGGATTTATGTGCCACCATGTAATGTTTCAGGGAAATCCACACCAAATGGGCTGTCTACATTCTGTGCTCCATGGGTATGATCTTAGTGCTATTCAGATTTTAATGCTGTAAGCCTGTAAACTTACAGTTGTCCCACTGGGGGACCCACCTTCAAACTTCCCAAGGTTCACCAGTTTCAGTTTTCAGATAAGCTATGGAATAGGAAAACAAGTCTTTTTTTGTTTCTATTGTATAACTAAAACTAAATCCAATACTGGTAGATTTATTTATCTATAGTATGACAGTTAAGGAGTATTATTCGCAACTAAAAAATTATAAGTCAAACTCTCTTGCAGCCTGGAAACAGAATGGTACTAAATGTATTAATTATAGATACAAACATTTCTATTAATTAATCTGGCTAGCTTCCTACCAAAAATGTGCAACTTTACAAACGTCTCTAAAACAGTTTGAAATATTAAATCATGCACTATCCATCGCTGCTAGTTGGATATCTCTAGCCTAATTTCAGCATTACTTCAACCACGGTGAGCATAATATTTACTTATCTTACACTTAATTTAAAAGTGATATTCATGAAAACATTTAAAAACTGGTTTATTGAAGTGTACAATTAAAAAAGTTTTGTGGTTTGTTACATTAGGAAAGGGATAACTGATGAAAAGGGTAACTTTACCTCCAAACACGGGTGTTAAACGTTCTTTTAATCTCGAGGTTTCGCGCTTCGATATTCAAGCCCAGTATTGATGTAAATACAAGACACACAGGCATAGATTTTATACTAGACACATATTCAATTTGTAAAAATAGAAAAAATAATAGAAAGTTATTATGCAAATTTGATACTATAAAGTTGGGAGAATATATCTGAAAGAAATCTACATTGTAACAATAAAAAGGACATAAAGAGTAAAAGCACGTCTTCCAATATCAGTAAATCACACCCGACAACACCAGTAAAGCACATTCCCCAATGTCTGTCAATCAAGGTCTACAATATTAGCAAAGCATTAAACCACATCCTACAATGTCAATCCTCTGAAGTATCAGGAAAGATGTTTACAATATCTGTAAAGTACGTTCTGCAACATAAAAAACGGCTTGAAATATTTAGTACTAGCAAAAGTACTCGACTTCACACGGATTATTAATATTAGGTTGATATATTTTAGCAAGTGCATAAAAGTTATCATGAAAGTAAAAATATCAGTCCCATTTTAAACTTAAATAGTTTCTGAATTAAAGTTTGTTTGTTTTTTGAATTTCGCGCAAAGCTACAGGAGGCTATCTGTGCTAGCCATCGCTAATTTAGCAGTGTAAGACTAGAGGGAAGGCAGCTAGTATTCAATCACCAACTCTTGGGCTACTCTTAGTGGGAATAATGGGATTGACCATCACATTATAACGCCCCCACGGCTGAAAGGGTGAGCATGTTTAGTGGGACGGGGATTTGAACCCGTGACCCTCAGATTGCGAGTCAAGCGCCCTAACCACCTGGCTATGCCGGGCCTCAATTAAGGTATTTTCTGTTATATCATCAACATTTTTAATGAAAAAAAAAACCTCTTTAATCAATGAAGACGAAATTAAGAAATCAACAATCTATTTTTCCAGTTTTGTTGTCTATATTTCATTTTATACTTTCAGTGCATAGACTAACAACAACATTATGTTTATAATTTTGTTTCTTGGCAACGTGATATAAAAGCTATTGTTGGAACATAGTATTACCAAAATGCACTGGCTTTTTTATACATTAGAAGTTATTAATTTAACTCATTTTAACTAATAAGTATTCTATGAATATGCCACAAATTCATTTCATGAATGATCTTAATTTTGATTGGCTCACAAAGGAATTTACCCACGTTTGACTGCCTCGACTGCACTTTTCTGCCTCTTTGTTGATCAAGCTTGATTTCACCAAATTTATTTATTTCAGTTAGCTTAGAAATGTGAGGTTAGGATATACTATGAGTGTACATTTAATTTTATATTTCCTATACATAGACTAGCAACAATGTTATGTTATATTTTTTTTGTTAAGCAACATGACATAAAAACCACTGTTGGAATGCATTGTTACCAAAATGCACTGGCTTTTCTATATATTAGAAGTTGTTATATAATGAATCACTTCTTTTCTATGTGTTTTTTTTGCTAAAAACATGTGCATATGCGCTCGCACATAGATAAGTAATACCCAGTTGTACACCCTCAGGATCCACTTGGTATGGGTGCAAAAATTTCAGATTTCTAGGTTCTTTCCTCTTGGAGCTTTGGCAATCACACATACACAGGTGCACGCACACACATGCATGTCTGTTTGTGATTTCTATTTGTAATATAAAGTTTCTAGGTTCTTTCCTCTTGGAGATATGGTGGTCACATTTCTTTTCCATGTGGATTTTTCCATAAAAAGATGCACACACGCATGTAGATAGGTAATAATACCTAGTTGCACACCCTCAGCATGCGTGCACGCACACACGTGCATGTCTGTCTGTCTATCTCTAATTTCTATTTGTAATACAGGGAACCACTTCTTTTCTATGTAATTTTTTGCTAGTTTACCTCATTAAGAAGATGCCCATGCGTGCACACACACATGTGCCCATGTAGTTTTTTGCCAAAAAAGATATGCACGTGCACACCCTCAGGGTCCACTTATTATGGGTGCAAAATTTCAGATTTCTAGATTCTTTCCTCTTAGAGTTATGGTGGTCAGACATATGCAGACCTGCACGAGCATCTGTCTGTGATTTCTAATCATAATATAAGGAACCACTTATTTTCTATGTGGTTTTTCGCTAGCTTGCTTCATTAAAAAGAAATGCACGCTGATAAATAATAATAATACCCAGGTGCACACCTTCAAGGTCCACTAAGTATGGGTGCAAAATTTAAGTTTTCTAAGTTCTTTCTTCTTGGAGCTCTGGTGGTCACATATTCTTCTCTATATAGTTTTTGGCCAACTTGCCTCATAAAAAGATGCGCGCACACGTGGATAAGTAATAATACCCACATTCACACCTTTAGAGTCCACTTAGTATGGGTGCAAAATTTCAGGTTTGTATTTTCTTGCCTTTTGGAGTTATGGTGGTCACAAGCACACAGACAAAGACACAGAAATACGTCCTTTTATTATTATAGATTAAACTTTGCAGTATTATTTAGACTTGAAATATGTAGTTTGGTGATTTGATGTTATTGTTTAGGTTCTAAGTGTGTAGTGCAACCCCCGTCGTCAATGGAGGGAACGGAAGGGCCTTTCCCCCATTTGAAACTGGTGCCAAACTTTATGAAGTTCATGCGTTTGTACATCACTTGTTCTGGTGTGGAATAACCTACCCTACATTGTAGTTCATAAAGATTTTTAGTAAAGAAAAAATATCAGTTTAGTTTTCTAAACCTAAATCATTTCTATATTTGATAGAGATAAATTAACACTGTAACTTGTGTATCTAAGCAAACTTTGATTGCTAAGTAGACAGAGCGGACAGCAGTAGAGTGAACATTGATTAACATGTATATTATGCATTCAACATAAACAACATTGTTGGCCTAATAACACTAACGTAATATTTTTGTTGATAGGCGATGATGTATATTGTTGAGGAATGTGACACGAAGATAGAAATTGCTTATATATAATAGGATTCTGCCCTACAAACATAATTTTTTTTACAAATAGCATGAAAACACCAACAGGTCGGGTGATTTTTAATACGGTCGGAGACAAGAATATTTTCTGCTAGGCCTAGTGTTGATAAACGAAATGATACCTAGTACAGAAATTCATCCAGAGACATGCACTAGACAGAATAACATAAGAACTAAGTGACACTTCAACACGTTTCCATGACAATAATTTTCATGGTTGTCCATTTCACTATCTGTTATGTTTGTCTCAGACAAGTATTTTTCAACAAGCAAAAATATGTCTGCTTTTTCAGATCTTAGATATATTAATGAAAAACCTATACAACCACAATGCAGCATGCTTTAGAGAAAAACAAAGGTCTAAACAAACATGCTTTTTCCTCTGGGCATGTGCAAGCTATGGTGATTTGGAAAGAACGATAAAAAAAGGAAGGACACCAATCAAAGTGTTTCAACTTTAGTGAATGAAAAGCAACTGAAAAAAACAAAACAAAAACAGATACTATATCAAATACATTGCAGACGTTGTTCAATTCTTGTGCACCAATGAACTGTCATTAAGAGGTGATAGGCGAAGTGGTCTTGATACTCTGGATTACGAAAGTATTGACGAACCATTGGGAGTCTTTCAAGACTGTTTGAATATACATTACAGAAAGACGAGAAATTTCATGGTATCTTTCAGACTATATCTAAGAATGCCAGCTATACGTCTGCTATGGTGCAAAATGAAATGATTTAGATTTTGAAGAACATTGTGCTTGGCAAGGTTGTTTCTGATATTAAAGCTGCTGACATTCTGATGGAACACGTGACCCAATGACTACCGAGAATACTTCAATTGTTGTGCATTTTGTAAAGAATGGAAAAGTGCAAGAGACGCTGGTGGCTATGACTACACTGGAGCAACTAGATGCCGACTCCTTAACCACTTCAATTCTTCAAGGTCTTGAAGAATGTGGATTGGTTGTCAATAACAAACTCTCTCAATGTTATGATGGTGCATCAGTGATGTTGGGTAAACATAGTGGTAGGAAAAAGTCCAAGAACGGTTAGGGAGAAATATTCGTTATGTGCACGTCATTAGAGAGAACAAAGAAGTGGAGATATTTTTGGCATGTGTAATGCTCTATACAAATTTGTCCATCATCCAAAGATTGACCAATTGAACGATAGCATAAAGTTGAAGTGGCTTCTAGATCAACGTTGGTCATCTAGCGACAACCTCAGCCATTCTTGAAAATCATGATAATCTTGTTGACTTCCTGGAAATATGTGAGAATGCTGGGTGTGATGCTAAGGTGTGTGTGGAAGTTGCTGGTTTACTGAAACAGTTAGGCAGTAGAAATTTCATGTTTCTCGCATCCTACATAAAGAAAGTGCTTACTATCCTATAGTCTGTCAACCAACTTTTGCACATTGGATAATTTTAAACAACTACGAGGAGACAATGACGAAACGTGACTCCATGACACAGAAACTAAAAAAATCATGACTTTGACGTCGTAGTTCTTCTGAAATGGCGATGCAATCTAAAAGATTCTGTGGTATTGTCTTCTTGTGGATGTATTGGATAGCTGTAATTGAGCAATCTGGAGAGAGAAACTGCAAACTTGCCACATCTATTTTTAAATTGTGGCCACAAAAATGAGGCTTTCCTTGAGGTCGCATATATTCGAATCCTAGCTGAGCTAATTGGGTTAGATACAGCATCGTCATTATTCGCAACGGATGCTGTAGCAAAAAAATATATTCAGAAAGAGTTCGACTCAGCCATCCACAAAGATGGATATTTATACTTTGTTGTATACATTACACGGTGGATTTTCTTATATATATCACACTGAATCAGTCACATTCGGTGCTAGCACTGTGGTTTGTGAAGCGTCATTTTCTACGGTGACACGAGTCCTAACACCATACAGTTCTTCAATGGCACACCGTCACATAAGTAGTATGGTTTTAGCTTTTTGCACGACTATACAAGATCTATGGGCTTTGACAAAGTGGTGAAGCATTTGCAAAAAGTAACCAAAGAATTAAACTGTAACTATGTATTATATTATACACATAAATAACATGGGCAATTCCTTTCACTATGTAGTCTCTAGCTCTCTTATAAGTGTTGTCAATCAGAGGTTTGGCTTTTTAGAATAATTTTTAGGAGTGCTTTATTTCATAACATATTCTGAATTTTTGAGCTAAGTTTAATTTTCACAGTATATTCATTTTAATACTTTTGAGATGCTCTGGTAACCTGTCAGAAGACACAAAATAAAAAAATGTCTTTGGTGCCCTTTAAGCCCCCCAAACTCCCAGTTGGAGGTGACTTTGCTCGCGATTTTCATAGTTCTTTCAGAAACAATTGAAATTGGTGCCTCCTCTAATAGTATATGTGCCTCTCTATGTGTGTACTTCTGCCAACAGGCCTGATGTACTGTGATGTTTGAAGATGTTCCTTAGACTTGAAGTATGTAGTGTGAAGCTTTCAGATGTTGTTTAGTATTTTTAAAAAGTTTATTGTTCTACTTAGCTGTGACTAAGATTTAACGTTGATAAGTGTTATAATCCAAATACATTTACGAATTCTTAATTATTACAATCTCATTATTCTATTTGTTTCCACGATACTAGATACTTAACATTACATCCCTAGTGTATGAAATTTGAATAGAAGAATGGCCTTCTTTTACTTCAAGTTCCCAAAACTGTCAATTACAATTTCAACCTAAGTCTATAAAAATCTTGACTCTAAGAGAAAAAGCAGTGTTAATTAGGACGTTAGCAAAACAGTTCAACTACGTTTATGTTTGTCAAATAAGAGATGATAATAAAACATAACACATTACTTCCTAAACGTAGCAAATACAGTTTTTTGAAAAGCAAATGCTTTTCGTGTAGGTAAATGAAAAATTGACTGGCTATTTAATTGGTTTCAATTAATACATCATATGCTTCATTCTTAATACTAGTGATGTCCAGTTTAAAAGTGTCTGATACTTAATTACAAGTTCTAACCTTTGAAGTTTCCCAGCCAGAGAAGCGTATTACACATCCTGAAATATCAGTAGATCCTTGATGATAGTAGGGACTAACTGTCATCAAAATATCTGAGCTTGGGGAATTACCTTGAATCAAAGAACACTGTTAGTTATTAAAAGTATGATATTGCTCTAGTATATATGTCATTACTGAAACAGTACAAGAAAAATAAGTATAGTTTCATTAACACTCAAACATGGAAACAATATTTTTAAGTTAAAAAAGTTTTTAGTGAAACAGAATGCAATATAAAAGGTTTAAACTTTATTATCAAAACATTTTATAGTTATTATAGATCCTTATATAAGGAGGTAAGCTATTTCATTAAAATGTTTTATAGTTATTATAGAACTTTATATAAGGAGGTAAGCTATTTCACCAAAACGTTTTATAGTTATTACAGAACTTTATATAAGGAGATAAGCTATTTCATTAAAACGATCTATATTGTAACAAATGTTTACACTCTTATCAAAACGTTTTATAGTGTGATAGTATATAACTACTATGTATCTGTCAGATGTACTTCCATATAAATAGCATGGTTTAAATATTATATTATCTTTAAATATTTTAATGTACCCCAAGTAGAATTTTTCAAGGACCATATTTTCTAAAGAAATATTACATATGTTATAAAAATGCTTACCTTTCCATAACATTATAATAAAAGTTGTGAAAACAGACAAATATAAACACTATAATCACAAGAGAAGAATGAAATACTACATAACTGGCTGACCACCTACGAAGAGAACTACTGAATTATAATAGATAAAACTAGAAGAAAAATATAGATGTAAAATATGTTTGAAAATCTGTAAATGACTAGATAGAAATTAAAATAAATGTTACTTCCAAAATAATCATATGATTTCTAAGAATAGTCAACTATTGGAAAGCACTTGAGTTTTAGGTCTTTTTTTAAATTCATTTAACCTTTTGTGTGTTAACTCTTTTATAGCCCCCCGGTGACACAGCGGTATGTCTGCGGACTTACAACACTAGAAACCGGGTTTCGATACCCGTGGTGAGCAGAGCACAGATAGCCCATTGTGTAGCTTTGTACTTAACTTCAAACAAACAAACAAAAACTCTTTTATAAGAATAGAAAAAAGACAAGACTTACATAGCAAATATTAACACCTTCGAGTAAGAAACAAATCTGTTTAGTTTGTTTTTTGTTATGGATTTCATGCAAAGCTACACGGGGACTATCTGCACTAGCTGCCCCTGATTTAGCGGTGTAAGACTAGAGGGAAGGCAGCTAGTCATCACCACCCACCGCCAACTCTTGGGCTAACATCTTTGTGTGTGTTACCATGGCAACTAACCCTAGACTACAAATTTAGTTTGAAATTCAACAATTATAAAGTTACAATATATATTAACTTCATTTACAAATCCACATTTATGTTATTTAGTTTCAGAAACCATGAAGTTGACAGGTACCTAGCTGGTCAATTTTGGGCACCCTGAAGCACAATCTAATGGTCACTCCCCATGATCTGGAGTATATGGTTGTAGAGAAGAGCATGGTAGCTTCAAAAAGCTTGATTATCCTGAGACTTACCAAGATGGTCTCTACGAGACTTTAAGATTTTCATTCACATTCTATCTTGTATATACCTGTCTTATCTGTTAATTCTATTCTGTCTTTAGCATTCCCTATCATATCTTTTATCGTATTTATTGGTTTGAAGATAGGGTAAAAATTCTGATACTTTTTGAATACTTTATATAATCCATCTTTGACTTCCAAGAAAAGAGATGTATAGGTAAGAAAATAGCATTATCATTTAAAGTTATTCTCTCAAAACATGTTTAAAGTTTCATGTACTATTCTTTCTATTTTTCGTTAGGTATTGCCGATCAGACATAGAAGTACTTCAATGGTGCTGTCTTAAATCAGAAAAGAGATTTCTCACAATCTGTGACATAGATCCCTTCAGGTACACGACCAATGCATCTGTATGCAAGATGGATAATTGTCAACAACACCCTTTTATGTGTTTAGTATCAGGTCCAACAGTAAGTGGTAAATCAAAGTTTGCAAGAAAAGTTTTAACTTATAAGCATGAAGTTACCTGTCTTATTTCTGAAAATATCATATGGCTTTGTGGTGGATTTCAACCACTGTATACTAAATTAATGTAAAATATTCCTGACATTCAATTTGTTGAAGTATTGCCTGAAAGAATTTATGAATATTTAACATCTGATAAACCAAATCTTTTTATCATTGATGATCTTATGAATGAAAGTGGAGAAAATAAATGAATATCTCAAATTTTTAGACGTGGAAGCCACTATCTGAACTTATTGGTGTTTTGTTTTGTACAGAATCTGTTTTATCAGGGTAAAGAAATGCATAATATTAGTTTAAATTCTCAAGATACTGTTCAAGAATATCAGAGACAAATCTCATTTGAATGTTTTAGTGAGACAAATGTTTTCAACACATGTCAAATATTTTGAAGAAGCTTATCAAGATGCAATAGACAACCTTATGATTACTTACTCATCGATTTCAAACTGCAAATGCCTCAACAGTTGCACCTGAGGATAAGTTTGTTTACAGAGGATAAAATTATAGTGTATGTACCATAGTAAGTCAAAACTTATGTTTTACTGAATATATATACTCGTTTATTATAATGACTGTGGTCGTGATAGAACTAGAAGGATTTCATCTGAAGGACGGACCATATGTAATTAAAGAACTAGCATTTAGATGTTTAGTCATTGGATATATGGGTGTGTTTTTGTTTAAACAACTGTTTTCGAGTGAATATCTTTCAGATACAAATCGTCATAAGTGTGACTGAGTGACACGATATATTCATCCCATACCATGGAAAATTGGTAACATCAACTATCTCTATCAGTGGAGTGTAGCTAAATTATTGAAAGAGAACTTCACCATCATTATAATAAAAATCATTATCTTTGTAGTGTAAAAAAGGAGATGTTATACTTAAATGGATTTATAAATAAGCAATTCTTATATGTTGTACTTACAATCTCTTTTCATTTATTCATTATGATAGTTAAAAGTTGCATTAACTAAAGCAACAGACTAAAGTAATAATTATTGTGTATGTATTTGTGAATGCACTTTAAATGTTTTAAAGGGAAACATTCCCATGATGAACATACAAAAGCAGAAACTTAGATAATACAATTCATTATTAAGAGAGTTTGCTGCAAAAAAAGTACCAGTTAAACAAAAACAGAACTTACTAATACAGAGAGGAGGGTTTTTACCATTACTCATAGCACCAATACTTTCGTTATTTGGTGGTTTGGCAGGATGGTTTATTGGTAAAGCTGTTTTACTTTTAAAAAAATGGAACACAAAAACGAATAATTCTCGTTTCTTAAGAACTGGTACACTTGCTTTATCAACACAAAGTTTATGAAAGACTGGTACAAACTTCTCAAGGTTCACCAGTTTCAATTTTCAGATAAGCGATGAAATAGGAAAACAAGTCTTTTGTTTCTATTGTATAACTAAAACTAAATCCAATACTGGTAGATTTATTTATTTATAAATATGACAGTTAAGGAGTATTATTCGCAACTAAAAATTATAAGTCAAATTACCTTGCAACCTATAAATAGAATGGTACTATCAGACGTCTTTAAAATAGTTTGAAATATTAAATCATGCTCTATCCATCACTGCTAGTTGGATATCTCTAGCCTAGTTTCAGCATTACTTCAACAGTGAGCATAATATATACTTATCTTACATGCAATTTAAAAGTGATATTCACGAAAACATTTAAAACTGGTTTCATGAATTGTACAATTAAACAAAAAAGGTTTACACGTAAGTTTTGTGTTTTGTTACATTAGGAAAGGGGTAATTGATGAAAAGGGTAACTTTACCTCTAAACACAGCTGTTAAATGTTCTTTTATTCTCGACGTTTCATGCTTTGATATTCAAGCCCAGTATTGATGTAAATACAAGAGACACAGGCATAGATTTTATATTAGACACATGTCCAATGTTAAACTATTAAGTATTAAAAATGTTTTAATTTTATTATAATCACAAAGCTAAACGTACGTATTCTAAGCTCTGAGCACATTTATGACCCTTACAAAACAATGTGATATTAACCCAAAGATTTTACTGATGTGGTTCATATTTACCCCATCAGATTTTGAAAATTTTTTGTAAGCTATATTTTGTATATCAAATGTCTTGTGGGTCTATGATTTAGTTGGTTACAGGACCTTTAATTACATACATGCTATTATGCAAATTCGATACTATAAAGTTGGGAGAATATATCTGAAAGAAATCTACAATGTAACAATAAAAAGGACATAAAGAGTAAAAGCATGTCTTCCAATATCAGTAAATCACACCCGACAACACCAGTAAAGCACATTCCACAATGTCAGTCAATCAACGTCTACAATATCAGCAAAGCATTAAAGCCCGTCCTACAATGTCAATGCTCTGAAATATCAGTAAAGTACATCCTACAACATAAAAAATGTAGGCTTGAAATATTTAGCGTAATGAGGTTATTTAAGCTTGAAATATTTAGTACTAGCAAAAGTACTCGGCTTTGCACAGATTATTAATATTAGGTTGATATATTTTAGCAAGTGCATAAAATTTATCATGAAAGTAAAAATATCAATCAATAGTTTCTGAATTAAGGTATTTTTTAATTATTAATTAGATCTCAAATCGGTCAAGAGATGACAAACCTATGTGCTAAAAGTTTGTACTTCAAAAAACAAACTCGGCGGCCATTCTATGAGCTGCTATATTGCAGCTAAAAATACATCTAAATCATAATAAAAAAATACAAGATAAAAAAAAATAAAATCACTATACTGGCTAGTTAACAGTTTACATTACAAAAAATACCATACAAAACAAGATTCAAATGTACAGCAGCTGCCAGCAATTTGACTGTTGATAATCCTAATAATAACAATTAAGAGGTTACTGTCGATGTTTGGCCAATCACAGTGCAGATTGATGGACTTTTCCTCATCTTACATTTCACTACTAGCAAGATATTTCCTTCCAGTGTCTCCTTTATCAGCTGAGAAGAG